TCCCTTTATAGGAAGTGGTAGAGACTCTACTTGGCTGGCGAACTTCGCTGAAGGAGTCGCAACCCCATGTTTCACCTTTTAATTATTGCATGCTCCATGGCTGCGTCAGACATTGACTCATCGCCCGGAAATGGAAAAAAATGGATATATATATATTTATTTATTTGTTTAGTCATGTAAGAGTCTGTACTAGCAAGGCTGGCCCTCGTCACCACGAAGCAGATGCTCCCCGAGATCGTGTCGCCCCTTCACCACATTGGGGTGTGCAGGATGGGGGGGGGTTGACATACTGGGGTCGCAATGAAAAATAGGAGTAGCAATAAGAGTAATGGAAATAGTATATCCCCTTTGTAGTCCGTAGTAGAACTATGTTATGTTTCACCCCAAAACCTAGAAAGGCCCTTACACATAGTAGCTTCTGTACACCAAGTGATGCGGCATCATCTCATGCCATGTCATATCGTGTTGTACTATGTCAGACAGCAGTATCTCAGACTGTAAACCCCACACCCCTAAGCCTTGATATACGATCTGAACCCAAGGGCCTCTAGATTCTGTCCAGAGGGTGACGCGGTTTCAGAGTCTGGCGATGTACGGAGCTGAATCCTGCGACCCGCATCCAGTTGGCCCTACTTCCGCAGTTCTTTTGTTTGACACCCTGCACTAGGTCCCTTCTGTCAATATGCAAGGCTAAACCCTAAACCCTAAACCGCAAACCCGATAAGCCCGACCCCGAGACCGGAGCAGGCAGCAGTCAGGAGATGCGCTGCCAACCGAGTCGCCACGCTACGAAACTGAATTCCCTGAAACCGTATAACCCACAAAAAAAACCCACAAAACCACAAGCACCTTCTGAAACCCGAATCACATTTCAGATTTCAACGTTCCAAAAAAATTTGGAATTTGGAACCCTATCCTAGTCCAAAGCCCAAATCCTTAAACGCCCCACAAGGAGAGACCCCATCCAGCTGTGCCGAGTCGTGAGAGCGTAAACCCCCTACAGATCCCTAAAAACCTAAAGAAACCTAGAAATCCCCAAAACGCTCGAAAGCCCCCAAAGACCTACAAAACCCAGAAGCCTCGAAAGCCCCCAAAGACCCTAAACCCTAAACCCTACAAAACCCAGAAGCCCAGCAGCTCGTTTGCACAAGGCTTTTCGACATGGTCGACGCGGACGCATCTGGCGAAATCATTCTGGAGGAGATGCGAGAGCTGCTTTGTCCAAGTCAAGCGTATAGCTATACATGTGTGTGGACATCTACAGTTAGGCTTTAACGAAATATATCCTGTGTAATATACATGCGGATTCTTCAGCAATGTACCCAAGTTTGGGTTTTAGATAGGGTTTGGGATGTAGGCCAGCTCGACTAGCCGAGCAGCATGCTTTGAAACTTCTTAGATGGTTATTGTAAGCGGTATACCTCAAAATCTAGTGTTTCTGAGTCATCGGCTTATCGTAAGGAATAGGGCAAAGAATAGGAATGTAGCCTTTCAATTATAGCAGGACCCTCGGGGTGACTCAGTTAGAGTCTAGGAACTGCTGGAGCGAGATGACGCTTTGCTTTTCTTTGGTTTGGAGCCGCAGCAGTTTAGGCAAAAAAGGCGGTTTAGGGGCTTAGGGCTTAGGGAAGCGATCTGCTAATGTACACAGCTAGTTCTTTTCTCATAAAACTTTTGAGGCCATCCCTAAATTTCAAGCCCAACCCTAAACACCTGAAAGCCCTGAGCCCTAAACCTTACACGCCTCATATGAGCAGCTTTCGGGGCCTTGGGAGCTTGCTTTGCTGTGGAGGTGGCAGAAGAGCTTTGAGGTGTGTTGGAGTCTTTCGATGGTATATCATGTGGTCGGATTTCGTAGCATAATATTTTCGACTATTATGAGGTTATACGATATTCGGTTCAGATATAACGAATTGGGCAGTGCTCCAAAAGGGGTCATTGGCTCGGACCTTTTCGGATGGCTTTGCTTCGTGATTGTTTGGCTTGTTTTGTCTCTGGGAGGATTGGCAGGGCTGGCTTCTGTGCACACCCAAAGGGTCCAAGTGCCACCTCACTCTACTAGGTTCTTAGTTTTTCGATCATTTTCGGACCGAAGTAGTTAGTAGATATGTAGGAACAGTCTACTCTATACTGTTACTTGGACCCTTTGGGCATAGCCTTCGCGTACTACGAAGCCGGAAGTCTCCGATCCCAGGACTTATGGGGATCTCGTTGCCCACCTCTTTAGTCAAGGCCACCAGCTCCTTTCAACCTAACCCTCAACCCTAAGCCCTAAGCCCTAAACCTAACCGCCTGAACCCTAAACCGTCTTCAGCCCGGGAGAAAGTAGACGGAAAGAGACACTAAACCATAAACTACATCCTAATCCCTAAGTCAGGGGTTCCTTGTATCAGTATCACAGCCACTCAAACCTATGGAACCTCGCCT